TCTGTGTGTAATAATAGTGTTTTTGAATGACTACCTCATCTCTGTACCCCACACATACAATTATCTGTAAGGCCCCTCAGTCGAGCAGTGAATTTCAAACACAGATTAAATCACAAAGACCAGGGAGGTTTTCCAATGCCTTGTAAAGAAGGGCACCTATTGGCAGACATTAAATATATTTTTGAGACTGATGAAGTTATTAATTACACTTTGGATGGTGTATCAATACACCCAGTCACTACAAAGATACATGCGTCCTTCTTATCTCAGTTGCCGGAGAGGAAGGAAACTGCTCAGGGATTAACACCATGAGGCCAATGCTGACTTTAAAACAGTTAAGAGTTTAATGGCTGTGATAGGAGAAAACTGAGGATGGATGAATAACATTGTAGTTACTCCACAATACTAACCTAAATGACAGAGTGAAAAGAAGGAAGCCTATAGAGGATACAAATATTCCAAATCATGCATCCTGTTTGCAATAAGGCACTAAAGCAATACTGCCAAAAATTTGGCAAAGCAATTCACTTTTGGTCCAAAATAGAAAGCCATTGAATGTTTCCTGAGTGGCCAAATTACAGTTTTGACTTAAATCTGATTGAAAATCTATGGCAAGACTTTTGAAAAGAATAATGGGCAAATATTGTACAATCCAGGTATGCAAAGCTTTTAGATACTTACCCAGAAAGACTCACAGCTGTAATCGCTGCCAAAGGTGATTTTAACATGTATTAAATCAGGGGTGTGAACACTTATGTAAATTAGATATTCTGTACTTCATTTTCAATACACATTCCACATTTTGTATTAAATATGTATTAAATAGCTTTTGTTTCTCACCAATCTACACACAATACCCCATAATGACAAAGTGAAAACATGTTTTTACATTTTTTGGCAAATGTATTGAAAATTATATGTTTTCACTTTGTCATTATCAGGTATTGCGTGTAGATTGGTGAGAAACAAAAGCTATTTAATACATATTTAATACAAAATGTGGAATGTGTATTGAAAATGAAGTACAGAATATCTCATTTACGTAAGTGTTCACACCCCTGATTAGATTGTTGAGAAAAAAAAGCTATTTAATACATTTTGAATTCAGACTGTAACAACAAAATGTGGAATAAATCAAGGGGTATGAATACTTTCTGAAGGCAGTGTATCTGCTTAGTGATATTGATCATGTCCACTGTTGACATACTATTTACATTTTTTTTAATGGTAATGTAGCAGACGCTCTTATCCAGAGTGACTTACAGTTAGTGCATCCATCTTAAGATACACTACATCACCAAAAGTATGTGGACACTTGCTCATCGAACATATCATTCCAAAATCATGGGCATTAATATGGAGTTGGTCCCCCCTTTGCTGCTATAACAGCCTCCACTCCTCTGGGAACGCTTTCAACTAAATGTTGGAACATTGCTGCGGGAGCTTGCTTCCATTCAGCCACAAGAGCATTAGTGAGGCCAATCACTGATGTTGGGCTTTAGGCCTGGCTCACAGTCGGCGTTCCAATTTATCCCAAAGGTGTTCGATTGGGTTGAGGTCAGGGCTCTGTGCAGGCCAGTCAAGTTCTTCTACACCGATCTCGACAAACCATTTCTGTATGGACCTCGCTTTCTGTACGGGGGTATTGTCATGCTGAAACAGGAAAGGGTCTTTCCCAAATTGTTGCCACAAAGTTGGAAGCACATAATCGCCTAGAATGTCATTGTATGCTGTAGCGTTAAGATTTCCCTTCACTGGAACTAAGGGGCCTAGCCTGAACCATGAAAAACAGCCCCAGACCATTATTCCTCCTCCACCAAACTTTACAGTTGGCACTATGCATTCGGGCAGGTAGCGTTCTCCTGGCATCCACCAAACCCAGATTCGTCTTGGACTGCCAGATGGTGACGTGTGATTCATAACTCCAGAGAAAGTGTTTCCACTGCTCCAGAGTCCAATGGCGGTGAGCTTTACACCAATCCAGCCGACGCTTGGCATTGCGCATGGTGATCTTAGGCTTGTGTGTGGCTGCTCGGCCATGGAAACCCATTTCATGAAGCTCCCGAAGAACAGTTATTGTGCTGACGTTGCTTCCAGAGGCAGTTTGGAACTCGGTAGTGAGTGTTGCAACCGAGGACAGACGATTTGTACGCAATACGTGCTTCAGCGGTCCCGTTCTGTGAGCTTGTGAGCTTTTGTGGCCTACTGCTTCGCAGGCTGAGCCATTGTTGCTCCTAGACTTTTCCAATTCACAATAACAGCAATTGCAGTTGACCGGGACAGCTTTAGCAGGGCAGAAATTTGATGAACTGACTTGTTGGAAAGGTGGCATCCTATGACGGTGTCACGTTGAAAGTCACTGAAATCTTCAGTACAGGCTATTCTACTGCCAACGTTTGTCTATGCTTGATTTTTCCCCCTTTCAGCAATGGGTGTGGCTGAAATTGCCAAATCCACTAATTTAAAGGAGTGTCCACATATAAACGCAACATGTGTTGGTCCCATGTTTCATGAGCTGAAATAGAAGATCCCAGAGATGTTGCATACGCACAAAAGGCTTATTTATTTTACATTTTATGCACAAATTTGTTTACATCCCTGTTATTGAGCATTTCTCCTTTGAAAAGATAATCCATCCACCTGACATCTGTGGCATATCAAGAAGCTGAATAAACAGCATGATCATTACACAGGTGCACCTTGTGCTGGGGACAATAAAAGGCCACTCTAAAACGTGCAGTTTTGTCACAAAACACAATGCCACAGATGTCGCAAGTTTTGAGGGAGCGTGAAATTGGCATGCTGACTGCAGAGATCCAGTCCACCAGAGCTGCAACCGCAGACCCCGTGTAACCACACCAGCCCAGGACCTCCACATCTGGCTTCTTCACCTGCTGGATCGTCTGAAACCAGCCACACAGACAGCTAATAAAACTGAGGAGTATTTCTGTCTGCAATAAAGCCCTTTTGTTGGGCCTGGCTCCCCAGTGGGTGGGCCTGGCTCCCAAGTGGGTGGGCATATGCCCTCCCAGGCCCACCCAGGGCTGCGCCCCTACCCAGTCATGTGATATCCATAGATTAGGGCCTAATTTAAATTGACCGATTTCCTTGTATGAACTGTAACTCTGTAAATTTGTTGAAATTGTTGCATTTATATTTTTGTTCATATAACTATGACAGACAAATTGAGGAAAAAAAATCCAGAAAATCCCATTGTAGGATTTTTAATGAATTTATTTGCAAATTATGGTGGAAAATAAGTATTTGGTCACCTACAAACAAGCAAGATTTCTGGCTCTCACAGACCTGTAACTTCTTCTTTCAGAGGCTCCTCTGTCCTCCACTCGTTACCTGTATTAATGGCACCTGTTTGAACTTGTTATCAGTATAAAATACACCTGTCCACAACCTCAAACAGTCACACTCCAAACTTCACAATGGCCAAGACCAAAGAGCTGTCAAAGGACACCAAAAACAAAATTGTAGACCTGCACCAGGCTGGGAAGACTGAATCTGCAATAGGTAAGCAGCTTGGTTTGAAGAAATCAACTGTGGGAGCAATTATTAGGAAATGGAAGACATACAAGACCACTGATAATCTCCCTCGATCTGGGGCTCCACGCAAGATCTCACCCCGTGGGGTCAAAATGATCACAAGAACGGTGAGCAAAAATCCCAGAACCACACGGGGGGACCTAGTGAATGACCTGCAGAGAGCTGGGACCAAAGTAACAAAGCCAACCATCAGTAACACACTACGCCGCCAGGGACTCAAATCCTGCAGTGCGAGACGTGTCCCCCTGCTTAAGCCAGTACATGTCCAGGCCCGTCTGAAGTGCATTTGGATGATCCAGAAGAGGATTGGGAGAATGTCATATGGTCAGATGAAACCAAAATATAACTTTTTGGTAAAAACTCAACTCGTCATGTTTGGAGGACAAAGAATGCTGAGTTGCATCCAAAGAACACCATACCTACTGTGAAGCATGGGGTTGGAAACATCATGCTTTGGGGCTGTTTTTCTGCAAAGGGACCAGGACGACTGATCCGTGTAAAGGAAAGAATGAATGGGGCCATGTATCGTGAGATTTTGAGTGAAACCCTCCTTCCATCAGCAAGGGCATTGAAGATGAAACGTGGCTGGGTCTTTCAGCATGACAATGATCCCAAACACACCGCCCGGGCAACGAAGGAGTGGCTTCGTAAGAAGCATTTCAAGGTCCTGGAGTGGCCTAGCCAGTCTCCAGATCTCAACCCCATAGAAAATCTTTGGAGGGAGTTGAAAGTCTGTGTTGCCCAGCGACAGCCCCAAAACATCACTGCTCTAGAGGAGATCTGCATGGAGGAATGGGCCAAAATACCAGCAACAGTGTGTGAAAACCTTGTGAAGACTTACAGAAAACGTTTGACCTGTGTCATTGCCAACAAAGGGTATATAACAAAGTATTGAGAAACTTTTGTTATTGACCAAATACTTATTTTCCACCATCATATGCCAATAAATTCATTAAAAATCCTACAATGTGATTTTCTGGATTTTTTTTTCTCATTTTGTCTGTCATAGTTGACGTGTACCTATGATGAAAATTACAGGCCTCTCTCATCTTTTTAAGTGGGAGAACTTGCACAATTGGTGGCTGACTAAATACTTTTTTTCCCCACTGTATATATATACACACTTAAATTGAAAACATTTGGTTACACTTCATTTGATAGTATCGCTATGTCATGGACATGACATGTCATAAAAATGTCATAAGACCCGTCATATCCATTCATGGCTATTCATGTCAAATTAAATACGCTTGTCAAGACAGAAGTAGCGGCTTGCATTATGAAAGCACAGACATGACAACCCTTCATAGCCGCTCCCCATGGTATGGGTGTAACAGAATATAGGCTACAGGACACAAGAAAATTACTATGTCGAAAAGTCTTGTAAGTGCAATGACCAACAGCATGATCAATGCACACGCAAACACAAACACACACCCCTACCTGGCTGAAGGTCCCCGGTTGTGCAGACGCAGCTTCCATCCCTGCTCTCCCTCCAGCTTTGGCAGCAGCTGCCTCAGGACCCAAGGCTCATCGTGGGCGTTGTAGCAGATGAAGGCATAAAGACAAGCCTGGAAGGGGTAGTAGACGTAGACCACCTGCCATCTCAGACAATGGTAGATAAAGGATACCAGCAAAGTGAGGAGAAGTGGAGGAGAGGAAGTACAAGAAGCCTATGTCTACTGAACATGAGTGGATGTCAAAGTCCAACTGTTTAGAACCCTTCAGATCCTTTAGACATCTGCAGAGATACTGGTAGGGATGAACAACTTGTGTTTGGCTGTTGCGCTCCACCCACTGGATGAACAAAGCATTGCAGGAACATAGGGAGAGAATACAGCATTACCTCATTGGTCTTTGTTAAAATGCCATTCCGCCACTTTTCAAACTCATATTCATTATCTCCGGCACCAAACCAGTTTCTACATATTTGAAAACAGCGCATTTCTATGATCTGTGTGTTAAAAAGAGAAGAAAAGAAAGGTCCCAAAAAAAAGTGTTTATCAAAACCTGCAACGAGTTTCTAGCCAGAGGGATGGTATTTTCTTGCTCCCCTCATCGCCGCAAATCTCAGTGTTTGAAAATCACTGTTTTTAAAATGTTTAAACTTCTGATGACGTCATCAGGTATAACTTTCTAACTTGTTATTTTTTCTACCAAATGTAGAAATGCTTAGAATATCCCCCTATCCACATAGACGGGACAGCAGTGGAGAAGGGGAAAAGTTTTAAGTTCCTCGGCGTACATATCACTGACACACTGAAATGGTCCACCCACACAGACGGTGTGGTGAAGAAGGCGCAACAGCGTCTCTTCAACCTCAGGAGGCTGAAGAAATTTGCCCTGTCACCTAAAACCCTCACAAACTTTTACAGATGCACAATTGAGAGCACCCTGTCGGGCTGTATCACCGCCTGGTACAGCAACTGCACCGCCCACAACCACAGGGCTCTCCAGAGGGTGGTGCGGTCTGCACAACGCATCACCGGGGGCAAACTACCTGCCCTCCAGGACACCTACAGCACCCGATGTCACAGAAAGGCCAAAAAGATAATCAAGGACAACTACCACCCGAGTCACCGCCTGTTCACCCCGCTATCATCCAGAAGGCGAGGTCAGTACAGGTGCATCAAAGCTGGGACCGAGAAACTGAGTCCATCACCATCTTTCCGTCCCTCCTAAAGCCCCACCTCTTCAAGTTGGCCTAACCCTAAGCCCCCCCCCCCCACACACACATAACACCTGTTCGCTCATACACTGACACATCACACTATTTTCCTTTTCTTTAAGCCCTTCCCTCTTTGTTTTATATTTTGGTTTCTTCCTGCTGTTAATCTGGCATTGTCTTGTTTTGATCTCAGTTTTTTGTTTAGTTTCTACAATTGTAAAGCGACTTTGGGTCATTGAAAAGCACTATATACTGTAAGTCCCAATTAGCATTATTATTATTATTATTATTATTATTGTTATTATAATATTACCGGTTGACAATTTGATTATAAGATAAATCCAAAAGCTTGGAGTCTTTTACAATGGAATTTTCAGATTTCAGATTCAAGCACTCCAGTTTTAGCTAATACTAATTGAAAGCACCATCCAAGGCCAGGATTAGGTTGTTTCCAAGGGCCAGGGGCTTTAAAGCTCCCAAATCCTGGAAAACACATCCTTCAAAGTTCATGTTTTTATTGAAGTCAAGATAGAGTTCTGTAAATCTTGTGAGATTGGCAAAATCTGAACAGCCTAATTTAATGATCCTATTGCCACTGAGATCCAGGATTTCCAAAGTAGGGAAATTCCTTGTGGCATTTGGCACAGAAGACAGGATGTTTTTACCCAATAACAGTATTCTCAACTGTTTCATTGACCTGAAAGATAACTCAGACAATTCTATAATATAATTTTGGAGGACACCTGAAATATAACGACTTCACTATTGTATCTGAGGAACTGCTGCAACCATGCATACAGATGACTGAGTTGGACTTATCAGACAATTATATTATAGAATTGTCAGAGTTACAGTAGTAAAAACACAAGGTGCAGTTTCGAAATTTGGTTGTGCATCAGCAGTTATCCTCTTGTTATCTCGGTCACTGACACTCACTCAATTAGCCCATGTCAGCAAAAAAAATTAAAATTGGTAAGTTAGTTTAGCCAGCTATCTAAACTTGTAGTAAGAATGGCCGAATTACCTGCCCAGAGGCCTTGGCATAAGTCAGGGCAAAATGTGTAGAATTTCAGGAAATTTGCTGTAAAACTGACATTTCTTCTGTCCACCCCATGCCAGAAATAGTAGAATTGCGTGAAAGTTGTTTTATAATTGCACAATGTTCTCTCCACCCCATGGCAAAATGTGTAGAATTGCAAAAAACTTGTTTTAAAACTGAAATATTTTCTCTATGCCCCATGGAATATTTCATAGAATTGCAGGAAATGTACTTAAAAACTTTAAATTGTTCTCTCAGCAGTCAAGAGGGAGGCCACTGAAATGTTTTGCCCGTGAGACCCAGCTGGGTCCACATGTCTGTAGAGATGATAAGTATTGTGCTGCAGAGCCTCAAATCATTAGTGAACCTGAAACATACAGGTTCAGGCTTATATTCACCTGTATGATTCAGTTTCAGGTTTACTAATGAGTTGAGGCTCTGCAGTACCATACTCATCATCTCTATAGACATGTGGATCCAGCTCAAGTCAAGACTGGACACGTTCCTTAGAAAATATCTGTCTGGAACATCCCATTCCATGCTTCCATTTTCATATGGGCCAGAGAAGGATAGGTGTAATGTCTGAAGGTGAGGAAAAACATTGGCGGTGATGCTGAAGATTTTAAAATGATTCCCAGATACATCCAGCTTTCTCAGCCCTGTGGACGTCTTTGATATTTTGATGACTGAAAATAGTTAAATAAGTTGTCACTAATATCCAACTCCTGCTGTTGTGGTAATTGGAAGATGGAAACATATTTGATATGTCTCAGCCTGTTGTTATTTAAGCCTACTACTTTTAAACAAGAGAGGAACTGAATTGGATGATGGGGTGATGGTTGTGATGGATTTTTGTGTTAGCACTAACAGGTTGTCCAGGCTATGAAACGTGTGGTCTGAGAGACAGGTGAGTTTGTTCATACCAAGATTCAGCTCCTCTAGAGCCACCAAGTCTGAAAAAGCCCCATCGTCTACATGAGAGATTTGGTTGCCGAACATATTGAACTTTCAGGATTGATAGAAATGTTAAAAACTATTGTTTGATCTTTGAAATGTCATTTTACGAAATGTCAAGAAATCTCACTTTAGGTGGAAAGTCAGTTGGTATGGCTTTGAGGTTCCTATGATCACAGAGTACTTTCAGGTTGATGGTGATATTTTTTGTGCAATCAATTGTGCAGGTTTTCATTATGTAACCCCTCACTGGATTACAAGAACCCAGCAATACAACAACAAGTACATTTACATTTTAGTCATTTAGCAGACGCTCTTATCCAGAGCGATTTACAGGAGCAATTAGGGTTAAGTGCCTTGCTCAAGGGCACATCGACAGATTTTTCACCTAGTCGGCTCAGGGATTAGAACCAGCAACCTTTCGGTTACTGGCACTACGCTCTTAACCACTAAGCTACCTGCCGCTACCTAGAGAGAGAGTCTCAGCTGAGAGTATGTAGACCAACTTCCTATTCTTGGCATGGTTATCATCATTTCAGCAAGTAGAGCTTGGTTTGGCTCAGTTCCTTTTCAGAGTAATAGGTGGCTGGTGATCAACACACATTTTATCCTAACAAGGTTATTTTCAACCTATACTGTAGATCTTAAGTAAATAACAAATAGCTGCTTTGAGAGGGAATTTTTTTATGCATCACTCAATGAAAAGTCAAGAAACACCAGCCCTTCATCTTTAAGTGCCATCAAAGAGGACAGAGAGCCCACTGGCCACATTTACAATATTTGCTTGATTTTTAAACTATTTCAATGAACATGTTGTTTTTAAAGGGTGACTGTACTTGCCGATTTGGCCTCATTTTTCATCAATGCTCATTAAGAAATACTAGCGGCCACAACTGAAGGCAAATGAGAGTTGTCTTGGGTGTGTCTTTGCCATTCAATCACAACAAAAAAGGACAGTTGCTTATTGAAAGCAAGCTGGCAACATGCTTCAAACATGTTGTCAGGTTTGCTTGATTATGAGCTAGCTAGCAGAGATCAAACCTGTCTTCAGGTGCAACGTTATCTATGTAAATCTTCCTCTCACATTACACGTTAGAGAGAGACTATGTATTTAGCTAGTTACATCACAGTATCATAGGCTAATCCTCTATGATACTAGGCTATCAAATAATGACATGTAGCTAGTTAGATAGCTAGCTATAAACAAAACTTAGCTACTTACCAACAACACACCAGTCTCAGGTTTTACGGTTGATAGCCCAAGTGGAAACTAGTCGTATGTAATCCATATCCTGGCCATCTGCCCAAGATTGTTGAAAAACTTGATGGAAGCCCATTTTCACTAGAGTAGCTATTTCCAGAGCAAGGGCAAGTCCTAACCACAAGTCTTGTCTAGGAGACATTCCAGTGAGTGAGTTCTTTGTGCGTGACCCGGGGCCCCAGGTGGGCAGGGGGTTTGCTCATTTTCAACCATTCCATTGGTACTCCTAAGGAGATGTCTCATGCAAAGTGAACTCGCCCAGTCTTTTCCCAGAAAACACAGTGTCACCACATGTTAATAGGCAAAAGAGAGCATGAATTGTTGACATAAATGTAATTCAAAACAAACCCTCAAGTATGTCATGACGCAGTCACTTACCAAACTCTGTTTTGGACAAGACTGACTTTATGACCAAAATTATCCAATTTACACTTTGTAGTCAATTTTGACACTAGAATAAATGCTTCTGACTCATATTATTTTAGAGGGGGCACGAAGTGCATGAGGATGGAGGGAGGTGGTTAGTTGTAGAATTTAGTCTTTTTCAAACGCCTGAAACAGCTTTTTCCTGCAATCTAGAGCCATAATCATTACACCTAATTCTATTCTATATGTCTATTGTTCTAAATTACAACACAGTACATAACCCACATCATCAATACAGGCACATATCATGGCATCATAATTAATACACAAATATCATGATATTATCATAAAATGCCAGATTACATTTCAGTATTTTTCTGCATATCTAAGCCTACCTCTTGAGCTGTCTGTATCATTTTCATTTACATTTTCGTCATTTAGCAGACGCTCTTATCCAGAGCGACTTACAAATTGGTGCATTCACCTTATGATAGACAGTGGGACAACCACTTTACTTTTTTTTACTCTTTTGGGGTGGGGTAAGGGGGGGTAGAAGGATTACTTTATCCTATCCCAGGTATTCCTTAAAGAGGTGGGGTTTCAAGTGTCTCTGGAAGGTGGTGAGTGACTCAGCTGTCCTGGCGTCGTGAGGGAGCTTGTTCCACCATTGGGGTGCCAGAGCAGTGAACAGTTTTGACTGGGCTGAGCGTGAACTGTGCTTCCGCAGAGGTAGGGGAGCCAGCAGGCCAGAGGTGGATGAACGCAATACCCTCGTTTGGGTGTAGGGACTGATCAGAGCCTGAAGGTACGGAGATGCTGTTCCCCTCACAGCTCCATAGGCAAGCACCATGGTGTTGTAGCAGATGCAAGCTTCAACTGGAAGCCAGTGGAGTGTGCGGAGGAGCGGGGTGACGTGAGAGAACTTGGGAAGGTTGAACACCAGGCGGGCTGCGGCGTTCTGGATGAGTTGTAGGGGTTTAATGGCACAGGCAGGGAGCCCAGCCAACAGCGAGTTGCAGTAATCCAGACGGGAGAGGACAAGTGCCTGGATTAGGACCTGTGCCGCTTCCTGTGTAAGGCAGGGTCGTACTCTGCGAATGTTGTAGAGCATGAACCTACAGGATCGGGTCACCGCCTTGATGTTAGTGGAGAACAACAGGGTGTTGTCCAGGGTCACGCCAAGGCTCTTTGCACTCTGGGAGGAGGACACAACGGAGTTGTCAACCGTGATGGCGAGATCATGGAACGGGCAGTCCTTCCCCGGGAGGAAGAGCAGCTCCGTCTTGCCGAGGTTCAGCTTGAGGTGGTGATCCGACATCCACACTGATATGTCTGCCAGACATGCAGAGATGCGATTCGCCACCTGGTTATCAGAAGGAGGAAAGGAGAAGATTAATTGTGTGTCGTCTGCGTAGCAATGATAGGAGAGGCCATGTGAGGATATGACAGAGCCAAGTGACTTGGTGTATAGCGAGAATAGGAGAGGGCCTAGAACTGAGCCCTGGGGGACACCAGTGGTGAGAGCACGTGGTGCGGAGACAGATTCTCGCCACGCCACCTGGTAGGAGCAACCTGTCAGGTAGGACGCAATCCAAGAGTGAGCCGCGCCGGAGATGCCCAACTCGGAGAGGGTGGAGAGGAGGATCTGATGGTTCACAGTATCAAAGGCAGCAGATAGGTCTAGAAGGACGAGAGCAGAGGAGAGAGAGTTAGCTTTAGCAGTGCGGAGAGCCTCCGTGACACAGAGAAGAGCAGTCTCAGTTGAATGACCAGTCTTGAAACCTGACTGGTTTGGATCAAGAAGGTCATTCTGAGAGAGATAGCAAGAGAGTTGGCTAAAGACGGCATGCTCAAGAGTTTTGGAGAAAAGAAAGAAGGGATACTGGTTCTGTAGTTGTTGACATCGGAGGGATCGAGTGTAGGTTTTTTGAGAAGGGGTGCAACTCTCGCTCTCTTGAAGACTGAAGGGACATAGCCAGCGGTCAAGGATGAGTTGATGAGCGAGGTGAGGTAAGGGAGAAGGTCTCCGGAAATGGTCTGGAGAAGAGAGGAGGGGATAGGGTCAAGCGGGCAGGTTGTTGGGCGGCCGGCCGTCACAAGATTTCATCTGGAGAGAGAGAGGAGAAAGAAGTCAAAGCATAGGGTCGGGCAGTGTGAGCAGGACCAGCGGTGTCATTTGACTTAACAAACGAGGATCGGATGTCGTCAACCTTCTTTTCAAAATGGTTGACGAAGTCATCCACAGAGAGGGAGGAGGGGGCTGGAGGGGGAGGAGGATTCAGCAGGGAGGAGAAGGTGGCAAAGAGCTTCCTAGGGTTAGAGGCAGATGCTTGGAATTTAGAGTGGTAGAAAGTGGCTTTAGCAGCAGAAACAGAGGAAGAAAATGTAGAGAGGAGGGAGTGAAAAGATGCCAGGTCCGCAGGGAGTCTAGTTTTCCTCCATTTCCGCTCGGCTGCCCGGAGCCCTGTTCTGTGAGCTTGCGAAGGTTGCGACGGCGCATTACCATCTGAGTAGGGGCAGAGTGAGTAGTGTTGGAGGAGAGCGAGAGAGAAAAGGATACAAAGTAGTGGTCGGAGACTTGGAGGGGAGTTGCAGTGAGATTAGTAGAAGAACAGCATCTAGTAAAGATGAGGTCAAGCGTGTTGTCTGCCTTGTGAGTAGGGGGGGACGGTGAGAGGGTGAGGTCAAAAGAGGAGAGGAGTGGAAAGAAGGAGGCAGAGAGAAATTAGACAAAGGTAGACGTAGGGAGGTTAAAGTCACCCAGAACTGTGAGGGGTGAGCCATCCTCAGGAAAGGAACTTATCAAGGCGTCAAGCTCATTGATGAACTCTCCAAGGGAACCTGGAGGGCGATAACATTTACATTTTAGTCATTTAGCAGACGCTCTTATCCAGAGCGACTTACAGTTAGTGAATACATATATATTTATTTTCATACTGGTCCCCCGTGGGAATCGAACCCACAACCCTGGCGTTGCAAACGCCATGCTCTATCAACTGAACTACATCCCTGCCGGCCATTCCCTCCCCTACCCTGGACAACGCTAGGCCAATTCTGCGCTGCCCATGAGTCTCCCGGTCGCGGCCGGCTGCGACAGAGCCTGGATTCGAACCAGGATCTCTAGTGGCACAGCTAGCACTGCGATGCAGTGCCTTAGACCACTGCGCCACTCAGGAGACGATAAATGATAAGGATGTTAAGCTTGAATGGACTAGTGACTGTGACAGCATGTAATTCAAATGAGGAGATAGACAGATGGGTCAGGGGAGAAAGAGAGAATGTCCACTTGGGAGAGATGAGGATTCCTGTGCCACCACCCCGCTGACCAGATGCTCTCGGGTTATGCGAGAACACATGGTCAGACGAGGAGAGAGCAGTAGGAGTAGCAGTGTTTTCTGTGGTAATCCATGTTTCCATC